CCTGCATAGCCAAAGCAAGACTAAACAAAAAGAACAAATCTGGAGGGATTACCCTACCTGACTTCAAACTATACTATAAGGCCATAGTTATCAAAGCAGTATGGTATTGGTATCAAGACAAGCATATAGACCAATGGAACAGAATAGAGAACCCAGAAATAAAGCCAAATACTTATAGTCAAATGATCTTTGACAAAGCAAACAAAAACATAAAGTGATGAAAGGACACTGTATTAAACAAATGGTGCTGGTATAATTGGCAAGCCACATGTAGAAGAATGAAACTGGATCCTCACCTCTCACCTTATACAAAAATCATCTCAAGATGGATCAAAGACTTAAATCTAAGACCTGAAACCATAAAAATTCTAGAAGATAACACTGGCTTAGGCAAAGACTTCTCATGACCAAGAACCCAAAAGCAAATGCAACAAAAACAAAGATAAATACATGGAACTTAAACTAAAAAGCTTCTGCACAACAAAAGAAATAATCAGCAGAGTAAACAGAACAACCCACAGAGTGGGAGAAAATCTCACAATCTATACATCCAACCAGAGGGACTAATATCCAAGAATCTACAAGGAACTCAAAACAAATCAGCAAGAAAAAAACAAATAATACCATCAAAAAAGTTGGGCTAAGACAATGAAATAGACAGTTTTCTCAAAAGAAGGATAATACAAATGGCCAACAAAAACATGAAAAAATGCTCAACATCACTAATTTATTAGGGAATGCCAAAAATCAACAATAATATGATACCACCTTACCCTCCTGCAGAAATGGCCATAACCAAAAAACAAAAACAAAAAACAAAAAACAAAACAAAACTATAGATGTTGGCATGGATGTGGTGAAAAGGGAACACTTTTACACTTTGGAGGGAATCTAAATTAGTACAATCACTATGAAAAACTGTGGAGATTTCTTAAAGAACTAAAAGTAGATCTACCATTTGATCCAGCAGCCCCACTCCTGGGTATCTACTAAGAGGAAAAGAAGTCATTATATAAAAAATATACTTGCACACGCATGTTTATGGCAGCACGCTTGCAACTGAAAAAATACGGAACCAGCCCAAATGACCATCAATCAACAAGCAGATAAAGAAAATGTGGTATATATATATACCACAGAATACTACTCAGTCATACAAAGGAACAAAATAATGGCATTTGCAGCAACCTGCATGGAATTGGAGACCATTATTCTAAGTGAAATAACTCAGGAATAGAAAACCAAACATCTATGTTCTAATAAGTGGGAGCTAAGCTACGAGGACACAAAGGCATAAGAATAATACCATGGACTTTGGGGACTCAGGGGAAAGGGTGTGGGGGGTGGTGAGGGATAAAAGACTACACATTGGGCACAGTGTACACTGCTCAGGTGGTGGGTGAACCAAAACTCCAGATATCACCACCGAAGAAATTATTCACATAGCCAGGCGTGGTGGCTAACACCTGTAATCCCAGCACTTTGGGAGGCCGAGGCAGGCAGATGACGAGCTCAGAAGTTCAAGACAAACCTGGCCAACATTGAGAAAACCCATCTCTACCAAAAATAAAAAAAATTACCTGGGTGTGGTGGCGTGTTCCTGAAGTTACAGCTACTCAGGAGGCTGAGACAGGAGAATTGCCTGAACCCAGGAAGCGGAGTTTGCGGTGAGCCGAGATTTCACCATGGCACTCCAGCCTAGGCAACAAAGCAAGACTCTGGACTCTGTCTCAAACAAAACAAAACATAACAAAACAAAACGAACTTTTTCATGTAACCAAACACCACCTGTTCCCCAAAAACCTATTGAAATAAAACAACAAAAAAGAAATGTCTATTCAAGTCCTTTGGCCACTTTCAAATTAGTTTTTGTTATTGAGTTATAGTTCTGAACATTCTGGATATTAATTCTTTATTAGGTATAAATCTGCTAATATTTTCTCCCTTTCCATGGGTTGCTTTTCATTCTGTTTATAGTGTCCTTTGATGCACAGAAGTTTTTAATTTTGATGAAGTGCAATTTCTCTATTTTTCCTTTTGTGGCTTGTGCTTGTGGTGTTACCTTCAAGAGATCACTGTTAAATCCAATGTCATGAGGCATTTGGTCTATGTTTTCTTCTAAGAGTTTTACAGCTTTCTTTCTTTTTCTTTCTTTCTTTTTTTTAAATCTGCAAGTCTGTTTTATTTCCATTAGAAAAATATTATCCATATTAAATTTTGGTCCACTTTCTTCTCCTTGACCTCAAATTTAAACACTTAAATTTTACTCAAGTAGGAGCAGAATCACATACCTGACATGAAAACTAAATCGTTCACATCATTAGTTTGAATTAGATATGTTCTTGATTATTTCTCAGGAATAATTACTCTTCTTTCCTACCTGTTATTTCTCTTTTATTTATTGAGTGACTATGTAATGGGTATCTCTTTCCTATATTCAGTAATACAGGTGTAATTTAAAACAGTAACTGGATTCCTTCTCTAATCTTCAATTCATGTTTAACTCTCCCTATTATATGGTATTTCCATAATAACTTCAGATATTTTCATCAAGCTCACACTGTCATCAATTGTGGAAATTAAAAGGTTAATTAAGATGTTACATCAGTTGTAGATATTAAAATGTTGACAATTCCGGACTTCAAAGCACTGGCCCACTTATAGTGATGCTGTTGTCAGCGGTGCTTGGACAGCTACTGCTTCACTTTCAATTTGGCTACCTTTGGGCAAAGCAGCAACTTGGTAAGCAGCTCTAGCAGGAAAATTACTCTTGAAATACTGTTTGTAGACTTCATTGACAGTATTGAAGTCGTTTATGTCAGCCAGAAGAACAGCTGTTTTCACCACATTAGTGAAGTCATAGCCTGCAGCTTTCAGAATTTCACCTATGTTTTTAAGAGCTTGTTTAGCTTCTTCTGCTATCCCTCCTGACACAAGCTGTCCACTTGAAGGGTCCATGCCTATCTGTCTTGAAATGTAAATGGTCCTGTTGACTAACACAGCTTGACTGTAGGGTCCAATGGCCCCTGGAGCTTTTGCGGTGCTGATCACCCTTTTGATCAAGGATGACATGGCTAAGTCTTCCCTCTTGCAGCCCCTTCAGGAGAAGAAGCCCCAGCGCCTCTCCTACAGTTTTATTTCTGATGTTTACATTGGTGATTCATTTTGGTGAGTATAATGTAAGGTAAAGGTCCAACTTCCTTCTTTTGCATGTGGATATCCAATAGGAGCTTACATTTTTATGTGGATGTCTATTGAGCCACTGTTAGCATTTTATCACATAATGGGACCCCCTCCTTTGCCTTTCTCATTATAAATGGCCAACAATGACCCCAGCAATGACTCATACCAGTACTTAGAAGACTTAAGCTGTAACCAGTGCCTGAGCTCATGTCTTGTGGAGGTTTAAGCCAGCACTAACAAGTTGGCAGTGCCTTGTATTACCACTTTGCTTATAATAATATGGCAAAAGGTATCATTATTGGAATTGCCACAGTGGGTTCACCATTCAGACTTCTGGATGTGTTCATGCAGTCAAAATTTCTGAGACAGATGACCCTAATATTGAACTCAGTTCTAAGGTTCTTCATTCAGACAAGAATGACTATGTTTGCTACAGGAAAACTCAGTAGGAAAGCTGACTTGCATATTCAGCACAGAAATGCAAAGGAAAATGAAAAAGGAAGGGAAAAAAAGAATGCATATTCATGAAAAATTAAAAATATTTATATTTTCAGCAGTATTGCCAGTTTAAGAAGCTTTGCCAGCCCATGGAGAAAAATCCCTAAAAGGAACAATTGTGAGGTAACTTTCATATGAAATGCTGCTCTTACGTTCTTCATGCTTGTAATGGCATATCTGTGTAGGTTTTCTCACTTATTTTTGTGACTAAATTGGGTATTTTGGTGGTGTATAATGGATTTCCAGGAAAAAACCCCCAAATCTATGACACCGGATCTATACCATGCATTGGATGACTATCATTCACTTAATTTCCTAAATTGAGGGTCATATATATTTCAGTAATTTTTTTCTATGTATTTCCTGTATAGTTGAGATCATACTGTATACATACGCTTTCACTTTTCTTTTTCTCTTACCGTGTCTTAAACATTTTCCGATGCCACTGAAACTCTGCAAACATCCCTGCTAATGGCAGCCCTGCATTTCCTGATACTGATGCACCATGGTACTATGTGCAGCGTTCGTAACTCGGTAGTTTTCCAGTGTTTGTCTATTTCCCTTTTCAGCCCCATGGCACAGGGACCAATTATCATTAGGATCCTATTATCTTTACCACAAAGCACAGCAACCTCAGGAAGCCTTGATCGGTTTTTGTTTTTGCCCAGCCCTTCCACATGCATTGCCAAGTCACTCGTGTTTGGGTGCCGTCAGGATACCGATTATGTCCACACCCAGACTGCGAGGTTTATGTTGCTAATACATCTATTTGTCTGTTGCAAAGTTCTAGATTGAGGGAGAAACAATTATTTGTCTCCCTTTCCCTTCAGTTCCTCCTTGCCTGGAATGATCTCCTTTTTCTTAGCACTGTCTCTGAATCGTCTCTTTAATTTTCAGTTTACTCTTCTAGTCTCACCAGCTCCATGAAGTTTTTTTCAACCACTCTCGCTCACATTAATATCTCCCTCCAGGGAACCGTCTGCACCTTCACTTTAGTACTTTATTGCCAATCATCTTGTATTATTCTTTGTTTCTTTTACTGTAGATTATAAGTGCATGAAGAGCAGAAATGCTTTTAGAATTCTTTTCCCTTCCTATGAGGTAAAGCACAGAAAGGTGACATCCAATAAATTCTAGCTGAATGGAGCAGAGTTGAAGTGCAAACGAATGTACTGACTAAAAGGCTAAAGTGAGATTTTCCTTTTTTAATAACAACAATACAATATTTGGCATATGTCCAATATCCAAAGTAAGAATTTAAACCATGTCATTTTATCATCATCTGAACTGGATATTAGTAAAAAAAAATTGCTACTTACTCAGAATTCGTGCAAACCCAAAGTCACAAATCTTGATTATTCCTTGCTTAGTTATTAGAATATTTTCAGGTTTTACATCTCTGTGAATACACTGTAAGATCATTATTTGATTATTTTTCTGAACCACCAAAATGACAAAGAATAAACATTAACTACTAGTTTAATAGATACACAGCCTATGAGATAAAAACAAACGTGGGTTTCCTTCACTTTTCTAAAAGAACTTAAATTGGCAGTTTTTCACTTGTAACTCTTGTCATACCCAAATTAAAACATTTATTAAAATATTGTTTTATTATTGAAATAATTAAAATTATAATTGTATGTGAAAACTGTCTCTTTTTTTTTTTTAAAGAAGGGATTATCAGGCTAGGTGTGGTGGCTCATGTCCATAATCCCAGCACTTTGAGAGGCCGAGGCAGGAGGATAACTTGAAGCCAGGAGTTTGAGACCACCCTGGGCAATGCACCGAGACCCTGTCTCTACAAAAAAGTTAAAAAATTAGCCAGGTGTGGTAGCATGCACTTGTGGTCCTAGCTACTCAGGAGGCTGAGGCTGAAGGATCATTTGAGCCTGGAAGGTTGAGGTTGCAGTGAGCTATGATCACACTGCACAGAGCCTGAGCAACTGAGCTAGACCCTGTCTCAAAAACAAATAAATAAAAATAAAAAATTAAATTCAAGAAGAGAGTATCATACAATTCTTTCAGTTTTTGCTGGTCCCTGTTTAAACTGTATGAGGTAAAACCTTAAATGAGATTAGACTCAGAGTACCTCTAATAACTGCTGCCACCCAAGAGTCACAATTAAGGTTGAAAAACTTGCAGATTTGAGAAATTAGAAAAACATTTAAATGATAACAAAAAACAAAATTCACTTATAATTAGAATGACCATATTATTTACATCCAAATCAGGAGACTTCCAAGTGTGAAGGAGGGGCCTATTAATAATCATGCCAGGACAATAGGTACAAACCAGGACTGCCTGGGTGAGCTGGGGCGCACAATCCCCTACTTAGCAGAGATTCCGACGCATTCCTCGTCAGGAGATGGGCATCATTTCCACATCCTCACCACGGAGCTATCCTGGAACGATCAGCAACACTCCTGAGATGGCCCACGATGTTGTCAGAATCCCTACTGGGAAAGTGGGACCTGTGGCACGCTGACCTCACTCGCTCTGTCGCCCAGGCTGGAGTGCAGTGGCGCGATCTTGGCTCACTGTAAGCTCCGCATCCTGGATTAAAGCGATTCTCCTGCCTCAGCCTCCCGAGTAGCTGGGACTACGGGTGTGTCCCGAGTAGCTAGGATTACAGGCGCTCACCACCATGCCCGGCTAATTTTGTATTTTTAGTAGAGACGGGTTTCACCATCTTGTTGTCCAGTCTGGTCTTGAATTACTGAGCTCAAGTGATCCGCCCACCTCTGCCTCCCAAAGTGCCGGGATTACAGGCTGGAGCCACCGCGCCTGGACCCCGCCATGCTTTCATATGCAGCGGCCTTACAATTTGCTGCCGAATCATAATGACCCTGAATGAAGCAGATGCTCCTCGCCGGACAGGAGCGGCCCGGCTAGGGGCCTGGGTGAGGGCAGGCTGAGTAAGCCCGCGCACGCATGGGCAATCCAGAAATGGGTTTCCAGGTTGCGGAGGTGCTGTGAGAAAACAGCTCAGACCTTACCCTTCAGAACTTCCCGTTTATCCACGCTCCCAAAAAAGAAAATGGATGAAAATAATATCGATCTCCATTACTGGGCCCTCACAGGGAACTCTGTACTTTTCAAAGCACTTTCAATTCAAAGCATGAATTATTTCATCCTTGCAACAATCCTGTGATTGCAAGTGGCCGCTGACAGAGTACATGAATTGAGTGTCACAATAATCAACTCCTTCTGCCTCCCTCTCTACTACGCTGTCAGGCCCTTTAAGCATTTTTGTCAATTTGACAATTCTGAAATGGTTGTCTTTGGTTCTCTAATAGCTATCTAGGAAGAGAAAAACAGCTGAGCCCTAAATTCATTTTAGGTTGCAGAAATGACACTGGTAGCAGGAGCTTGTTCCTATTTAGTCTCAATTACTGTCAACTGCTTCGTAATTTGTATGAAGAGCAGTTAGAAGAAACTTTTTTAGGTCTCTTAAAAGTACTAAGGCCTTAGACACTAATTAGAAAAAACACATAGGCCGGGCATGGTTGCTGATGCCTGTAATCCTTGCACTTCGGGAGGCCAAGTTGGGCGGATCGCTTGAGCCCAGGAGTTTGATACCAGCCTGGGCCCAATGGTGAAAGTCAGTCTCCACAAAAAATACAAAAATTAGCCAGGTGTGTGGTGTGCACCTTTAGTCCCAGCTACACAAGAGGCTGAGATGGGAGGATGGCTTGTGCCCAGGAGGTGGAGGTTGCAGTGAGCCAAGATGGCACCACCGCACTCTAGCCTGTCTGACAGAGTGAGACCCTGCCTCAAAAAAAAAAAAAAAAAAAAAAAAAATTGTTGGAATATAAATGAACATAGTTTTGTGATATCCTACCTTTTAAGCAACACACTTAAGAAATTTAGACTAACACTCTGAGTCAGTAACACTTATAGTTGGTGATTACATTAGAACAGGTTACGTCCTTTAAATGAGTTTGCATCAAATTCTAGAATTCTAGACTATGTGTAGCATTACCAATAAAGTGATTTACATCGATATCTGTCCATTGGCCTATACATATGTTTTCTGGATCTAATCCATGTGAAATTTTATAGCACTTTATTTTTCAACCAAATATACAAAAGGAAATGAAGTATTGACATATCCCAAAGAAATAGGAACATTTATTGGTATAGGAGCAGGTAGGAGAAGTTACTGATAAAGATGAGAGGATACTGAAGAAATTTAAAAGGAGTAAAAAATAATTGGAACCTGGTTGGGTGCGGGGTTCATGCCTGTAATCCCAGCACTTTGGGAGGCTGAGGCAGGCAGATCACCTGAGGTCAGGAGTTCGAGACCAGCCTGGCCAACATGGTGAAACCCTGTCTCTACTAAACATACAAAAATTAGCCAGGCGTGGTTGTGGGTGCCTGTAATCCCAGCTACTCGGCGGCTGACACAGGAGAATCGCTTGAACCTGGGAGGTGGAGGTTGCAGTGAGCTGCAGTTGTGCCACTGGACCCCAGCCTGGGTGACATAGCAAGACTCTGTCTCAAAATAAATAAATAAAAATTAAAAAATAAAATTAAAAAATAAATAATTGGAACCATAAGAAACAGGGTATGGGGGAGAAGAAGACGCTTAGAAATAAAAGCATTCACCTACTCCACTGCAAAGCCACACTCAATGCAAACTCTCTGCAATGCCTCTTGCAATCAGCTTATTTTCCCTCAAAGAACAAGAAGCATGCAAGTCTCTGTTAATAAAATAATTTTAATAAATTGAGTTTTATACACAGCGTTTTAAAATTTTTTATTTATTTATTTATTTTTTTGAGATGGAGTCGCTCTTTGTTACCCAGGCTGGAGTGCAGTGGCATGATCTCGGCTCACTGCAACCTCTGCCTCCCGGGTTCAAGTGATTCTCCTGCCTGTCAGCCTCCTGAGTCGCTGAGATTACAGTCGCCCACCACCACACCTGGCTAATTTTTTGTATTTTTTAGTAGAGATGGGGTTTCGCCATGTTGGCCAGGCTGGTGTTGAACTCCTGACCTCAGGTGATCCACCCGCCTCAGCCTCCCAAAGTGCTGGGATTACAGGCGTGAGACACCACGCTCGGCCTTGTACACAGCTTTTAGCAAACATTGCTCAGGTTCGGTTGTTGTGGCTGATGGGCAATCTTTTTTTCTGGCTCACAAGCGAGCCAAAAGAGATATCTATGGTATTTTAAAACTGACTTTTAACTTTAAAATCATCTCTGCAAACTTGCACACCAGAAATTGCTTCTTAAATAGCCTGATAAAAACATTAAACAGGTTTTTTTTAATTATCTGATAAATTTATTCTCTTGGAGCCTTAGGCATGGATGCTCATACAGCGAGGAGAGAAAAGGGACCCCCTCCTCAACAACCAAAACATAAGGATCAACAAGATGCTGATGGAGGTTGCAGCCTGGCCTGCTCCTATTTCAGAAGTCATTTTTGCCAGCTGGGCATGGTGGCTCATGCTTGTAATCTTAGCTCTTTGGGGGGCCAAGGTGGGAGGATCACTTGAGGTCAGGGGTTTGAGACCACCCTGGGCAACACAATGAAACTATCACTACAAAAAAAAAAAATTTTTTTTTTTAAATTAGCCATGCATGGTGGCAATGTGTAGGCCCAGTTCCTTGGGAGGCTAAGGTGAAAGGATTGTTTGAGCATGGGAGGCTGAGGTTGCAGTGAGCCGTGAAGGTGCCACTGCATTCTAGCCTGGGCAACAGACCAAGATCCTGTCTCAGGAAAAAAAAAAAAAGAAGTCATTTTTGCCATTTTGAGATGAAGCCCCTTTCCCCCTTTTCTCTAATCAATACAGCAAATATATAAAAATCCATGGGATCATTATGGTGTTAAATGGATCACTTTCGTTACCTCACTCTAGTGATATTATAGGGTAAAACAGAACCAAATGAGTAGGTATTTTCTTAAGTCCTGCGCTTCTCCAAATTTAATGTGCACATGAACCACCTGGAGCTCTGGTTAAAATGCAGACTCTGATTCAGCAGGTCTGTAGAGGACCTCAGAGTCAGCATTTCTAACAAGCTCCCAGGTGATCTCTATGAACCATAGTTGGAGTAGCAAGGCCTGAATCCCTTGGTAGTTTAACCTTCAGTGTCCTGCTTAGGATCTCGACTCTGGAGATGATAAGGTACACATGGTCTCTACAGGTTGAAAGCTGTGAGTCGTCAGCAACACCACTGGGTCAGATTGCCTTTTCTATCCTTTGAGACTATCATGGGCGTTCCTTTAAAAATAAGGAGAGTATGAAGGTTTTAGTTGTATTATTGTGACAGCTTTATATATGGCTTAGATTTTTTTTCTTTGCATGCATGTTAATTATAGATAAATAAAAAGACAGATACACAAAGGCTTACCATAAGAAAATGAGAAGGAATTTCCATCTTGGAGGATGCAAATTTGTCTGAAAAATTATCTTTTTTTTGAGACAGAGTCTTGCTCTGTCACCCAGGCTGGAGGGCAGTGGCCTGATCTTAGCTCACTGTAACTGCTGCCTCCCGAGTTCAAGTGATTCTCCCACCTCAGCATCCCGCGTAGTAACTGGGATTACAGGCATGCATTACCATGCCCGGAAAATTTTTGTATTTTTAGTAGAGAGAGGGTTTCACCATGTTGGCCAGGCTGGTCTTGAACTCCTCACCTCAGGTAATCTGCCCACCTCAACCTCCCAAAGTCCTGGGATTACAGGCATGAACCACCATGCCTGGCCTGAAAAAGTATTTGTTTTTAATAGAGTCCACATATTATCAATCAGAAGTTTTCGGTGTTTTAAAGCTTCGGGTATAGAATGTGTTGTTCCAAGTGCAGAAATGATGGCAGTTGCATTGGTCTACAAAAATGTTTGGGTCCACTGGAAATAGTCACAATCAGTTAGGCAGTTTGGGTTGACTGACTGATTGACTCATTCAACCAACCAACCATTGATCCATCCATCCATCCATCCATCCATCCATCCATCCATCCATCCAACCATCCATCCATCCATCCATCTATCCAGTTATTAAATAAACATTTATTGAGCACCCTTTATATAAAAATATCCAATTTAGGTATTAAAGAGATACAAAGATAAAGCAGCCACAGACATTGCATTCAAACTTATAACCAAGTACCTGGAAAGTGTCTGGTTATGTAGGGATAAACACTTGTGGTAAGTGGTATTTTTAGAAATCATTTTAACTACCCATAAAACTCCTGCAGCAACTTTGATACCTCCTATAGCATGGTGGAAAGCAAAAGAGATAAGGATTCCATTTGGCATCATCTTTATTAAGTATCAGAAAGCATAATTTGCATCATGAAAAATAGGTTTACATAGTTTGTGAAAAATATCCCTCTACATTAATAGAAAATAAAAGCTTTTGATTTAACCTAATAAAAACTTCACTGACTTTCCTAAAAGTAAAGAAAGCTTCCCCTCCATACTGAAATGTATTCCCATAATCTTATACTTTCTTTTTCAGCAATCCTAGACTGCTTTGATAGACATTCTGCTGGCATCAAAACTGACCATATGGTACTCTGCATCATTCCCTCAGCACTGTCTCTGTCTAGGCACCAACTCAAAAGGGCTAGATATATTTTTTAAAAGCTATCACTGGCTGAGTGCAGTGGTTCACACCTGTAATCCTCGCACTTTGGGCAGCCAAGGCAGGAGTTTGAGGCCAGCCTGGGCAAGATAGTGAGACCCCCGTCTCTATAGAAACAAAAATTGGCTGAGTGTAGTGGCATGTGCCTGTAGTCCCAGCTACTCAGGGAGGCTGAAGTGGGAGAATCACTTGAGCTCAGGAGTTTGAGGCCCAAGTGCGCTATGATCACGCCACTGCACTCCAGCCTGGGCAACGGAGTGAGACTGTCGCAAAAATATAATGATATAGAGCAAAGGTACCAGGAGCCAACTTGAAGAAGCTCTCATTGGCCTAAGATGGGAAAATCTGAGCATCGGAGAGACCAATAACAGCAAAGAATTGAAAACACCACAATACAAAATTTGTGTTTATAATGGTGCTCCAGCCACCTCTCCCCAAAACTTGTCACGGTTGCTAAGATACCAGCTCATCACCCTGAGTGTTGATAAATAAAAGTAGCCAGAATCCATGAGGGTGAGTTCTTTTCCATACAATTCCAATTATTAAATGCAGAAGGAATAACAGAATTAGAAAATCACTGTCATGAAATACTAGATGCAGACAATAATCATCACTGGATGCTAAAACCACCAGGGAAACAACGTTGACAGGGAAAATGATAACGAGGGGACCAAACGAATACCTCCTGAGCCCACTCATCAATTTTAACGTTCTCGAAAGTGGGACAAGTGGATGCTGTGCACTCACGATGGGGATGCGACAGGAAGTGTACAGCACCACATAGGAGGCGTTCTTATCTTAAAAAAAGCTGAACCTGAATATGATCAAGCCTCTAGATATAAACTCCAATTTACAGGAAATACAAGTGAAAGAACAAGTTAAGTTATGTACCGGAAACAGCCAAAATTATTTCTCTAACATAGTCGTATTCAAAGTGTGGTTCTTGAACCAGCAGCTTCAGTAGCATCTGGGAAAAATAGGAGACATGCACATTCTTGGGGCCCTGCCTCAGACCTACTGAATCAGAAACTCTGGGGACGGGGCCCAGGAAGCTGTGTTTTCACAAGCCCTCCTAGTGATTTTGATGCATGCCCAAGCTTGAGAACTACGGCTATAAAAGATTCATGAACTTTTTTTTTTTTTTTTTTTGAGACAGTCTCACTCTGTCACCCAGGCCGGAGTGCAGTGGTGTAATCTTGGCTCACTGCAAGCTCCGCCTCCCAGGTTCATGCCATTCTCCTGCCTCAACCTCCCTAGCAGCTGGGACTACAAGCACCCGCCACCACGCCCAGCTAATGTTTTGTATTCTTAGTAGAGATGGGGTTTCACCATGTTAGCCAGGATGGTCTCGATGTCCTGACCTCGTGAGCCGCCCACCTTGGCCTCCCAAAGTGCTGGGATTACAGGCGTGAGCCACCACGCCTGGCTGGAAACAGCTTTTAAAAAGGAAAGGAAAGGGGGACTTAGATTGCTATAGGGTAAAGAACTTAAGAGACATAAAAATAATAGTGAAAAAAAAAAAGTACCATGGGGGATTACACCAGCAATATCCTGAAAACTTACTATTATTACTTTTGGAGACAGGGTCTCACTCTGTCGCCCAGGCTGGAGAGCAGTGGTGTGATCTCGGCTCACTGCAACCTCCACCTCCTGGGTTCAAGTGATTCTCCAGCTTCAGCCTCCCAAGTAGCTAGGATTACAGGTGTGCACCACCATGGCTGGCTAATTTTTATATTTTTTCATAGAGATAGGGTTTCTCCATGTTGCCCAGGCTGGTCTTGAACTCCTGAGCTCAAAGCCATCTGCCCGCATTGGCCTCCCAAAGTGCAGGGATTACAGGCATGAGCCACCACACCGGCCCTGAAAAATTATTCTAGCCCAATTTAAAAATAGTTTCAGGGGTTACTGGCACTATGGCAAAAGGAATCATTACATTTATTCAAATTTTTAATTCGTAAGGAATTAGCAATTTGATTCTTACAGAAATTGGAAAGAGTCATGAATAATGCATCACTTTTTTCTCATATTTTGAACTTTCTTTTGTTATTTCCTTTTCTTCTTTTTTGCAGACAGGGTCTTTCCCTAGGCCGGTCTCAAACTCTGGGGCTCACTTGATCCTCCTACCTCTGCCTTCCAAAGTGCTGGGACTACTGGCTGAACTTCCTTTTGTTTTGCTTCTTTGACTCTTACTTTCCCTTTGTCTTCAGCTCTCCAAACAAAACCCTGAGCTATTTAGAAGAGTCATCATGAAGAAATGAATAAATACATTAGAAAATGTGACTTACGTTATGTGTATGACAGAAATTAAGAGCTTGATTATGTTTGCCATAATACACTTTTGATCACTCCATCAGCAACTCTGAGGGAAAAATAAAAAAGGAAATGAAAACTCATAGGATAGAGTTCCAGAAGCAAGGGTTGGGAATAGAAGTGGAGTGGCCAGGGACTGCCGTGTTCAAGGAACATCATGCAGAGGGATCCTAAAAAAAGTTTCAGTGAAAATTGGGCTTTACTATCTTTTTATTATAGTTATGTAATTTCCTTTTGTAATTTGAATTTTTTACATCCACAAATGATACATGCTTATGAGGATTCAAAAAATATAGAAAAGTAAAGGAATAAAATGTGTTGGGTCAAATCTTGCTACCACAAAATAACGGCTATAACTTCTGGTGGCTGTCTCTTCAGGCAACTCTGTTCCTCTCTCTCCCTGTCTCTCTCTGTACTTTTTTTTTTTTTTTTTTTTTTTTTTTGGGATAGGGTCTGGCTCTGTCACCCAGGCTGGAGTGCAGTGGCATGATCTCAGCTCACTGCAACTTCCTCTTTCTGAGTTCAAGACATTAGATTCTCTTGCCTCAGCCTCCCAAGTAGCTGGGATTACAGGCGCGCACCACCACGCCCAGCTAATTTTTGTATTTTTAGTAGAGATGGAGTTTCGCCATGTTGGCCAGGCTGGTCCTGAACTCCTGATCTCAGATGATCCATCTACCTCACCCTCCTAGAGTGCTGGGATTACAGGTGTGAGCCACTATGCCCAGCCAGTATTTACTTTTTAACTTTAATTTTAAAATAAACACATTCGTAGGGTTCAAATTTTAAACATATAAAAGTATATACATGAAGTCTCTCTGACACCTGCCTAGCCACCCATTTATTTGCTTCAATTTCACCCCGACCACTTTGAGAAACGTTCTATGCATAGAGGTACAAATACCAACATGTACACATATATTTTAGTGGCTCCAGAGGAGATCATTATATGACTGTAGCATAATTTACTTAGTCTCCATTGATGAGCAGTTCAGTTCTGCCAATTTTCATTTCTAGAAACTCTTCAGTGAATATCTGTAATCATCCATCTTATGATATTTATGCAATTACCTTCTTAAGATAAGTTCTAGAAGTGGGATTTCTGAGACCAGTGGTAGGCACCCATCACATTTTGATCCTGCAGGGATGAAATTCAGGTAGACCTGAGACTTGGTTTTGCAGGAAAAAAAGGTATACTTGGAAGATGGCTCTTCAATTCATCCAATCCATGTTGGTGGTAGAGACTCAAGTTATTTTGTAATAGTTTCTTGTCCCTGGTAAGCAGATAGCCCAAAAGGAGGCCAGGGAGAATAAGGATCTCATAAGAATGGGAGGGTGTAAGCTTCTTGTCCCTGGCAGACTCATCACTCTGTATAGAAAATATTGGGAAGTATCATGGGCAGGTGTATTTTCCACTGGGGATTGGGGGTCTGGGAAACTTACTCTGTTTGCGAGTATTCTACTTTATGTAACCATCTCCATGAATTATAGCATTTACATTCCCTGTAACTTTTCTGTTGGTAGCTTTCCATCACTCACATCACTGTCCCATGATGATGCCTTCACATTTACATACTGTCAAACTACCCTTTCTGAGGAAGGTTATACCCATTTTCACTCCCACCAAACATCTGTGCATCAAAGTCCCTGTCTCCTCATTGTCTTGCCAACATTTGGTTTTGCCAATGTTATGTTTGCCAATCTGTGGTTAAAATAAAAAGATGTCTCATTGTGTTTTTTATTTGTATTTCACTAATTTTTAGTGATTATTATTTTTCACACCCTTATTGGATACTGCATTTCTTCTTTTGTGTAATTCCATTTCATGCGTTTATTGCTTTTTAAATTGGTCTGTTCACTGCTTTCTTACTGATTTACAAAGACTCAATGTATATCACGGTCTGTTATATATGCTGCAAATATTTTTCTCAGTGTTGTTTGTCTTTCAGCCCTGTTGATGGAGATGTGGCTGTTGTCTGTATATTTTTCAAAAATCTGAAACATAAGGGTTTCTTTTACTAAATGTCAACTATAAGAATTTTCTTAATTAAAAAAATCATATTATGTAATACCCCAAACATATCCATTACTCAGATTTAATATTTTATCATATTTGGATATTTAAATCATATATTTAGATCACTTTTTAAAAACTGAACATGTGCAGATGTAGCTGACTTTACAGAACAGTGGGAAGGCCTAGGCATGACTCAGTTATAACACTAGCTACAAGATACCACCGTGTGAGGCTGAAGTACATGCAGAGAAAAGCAAGCAATGTACATGGTATTTTCCTCAGAGCAGTTTCCTGATCTTGTACCACAATTATGGTGGCATGCCCTTGACATCAGTGGTCCAGTGGCAACCCTTTGACGCCAGTTCTCCTCATTATTAATATTGTGAATGTACCTAATTCTCATGATTAAATCCCTTTCCACTTGAAGTGTCTATTTCCAGCACTGAATTCTGATGTAATTGTATTCGCCCCACTTCACCTAGAGTCAAACCTGAAACAACATTATTTATGTTTTTAAAATATGAGGCAGGAAGAATAGTATAGCCATTTTGAGCACTGTGAGACAGGTCGCTTGAATTCAAATCCCAGATATGCTGCTTCCTCCCTACTTTATAATCTTTTTTTTTTTGAGACGGAGTCTTGCTCTGTCGCCCAGGCTGGAGTGCAGTGGCCCAATCTCAGCTCACTGCAAGCTCTGCCTCCTGGGTTCACACCATTCTCCTGCCTCAGCCTCCTGAGTAGCTGGGACTACAGGTGTTGGCCACCACACTCAGCTAATTTTTTGTATTTTTAGTATTGATGGTGTTTTACCGTGTTAGCCAGGATGGTCTCGATCTCCTGACCTCGTGATCCACCCTCGGCCTCCCAAAGTGCTGGGATTACAGGTGTGAGCCACCGCGTCTGGCCTCTACTTTATAATCTTGAACATATGTTATTTAAGTTCTCTGAACCTTCAGTTTTCCTCATGTGTAATAACAGAATAATATCTCATAAGTTTATGGAGTAATCTATCCCCTCAATGTCTGGTTTTACACCCACATGGGTTCTGGAGATACAGGTCTGAGATCAGATAAGGCCAGTCGATGGGATTGAGACCCCCATACAAAGACGGAAGAGGTGCAGAAGAATAGCAAGAGGCCCCGAGGAGAGAAAGAACTGGGAGTGTGGGGAAGACAGTATGAGGCCAGGGTGGCTGACGCTTGAGTGAAGAAGACGGGAAGATTGGCAGAGACCAGTCCATGGAGGGCCTCAGAGATCTAGATCTCGATAAGAAATTTGGATTTTATGCTAGATTCAAAACCACTGAAAGAAATCAAGCAAGGAAGTGACATAATATGCAGAATGGATTTCTGGGGGGGCAACACACATAGAGAGAAATTAGGAGGCTAATTCAATAACCCAAGTGAGATTTGGACACTTAGATTATGGTGGCAGCAGTGAGAGGAAGGGAAATGGATTTCCATCCTTGGGAGAAACTAGCAAGGGTGGAGCACATGCTCCTACTGACGTGGGAACAGAACGCTGGTCTGGTCGGGATCTAAGAGCCTACAGGTGCAGGAGAGTAAGTACAGGCATTGGGAAATGAGGTAGGGGCTAGGATTCAGAAACTGCAAAGCCCCAATTATTAGCCTAAATAACATGGAATCAAGAATGAAGTAATTTCATAGGAAAGTAATTTCATAGGATGTTAAAGATGCCTTTAACATGAAAGAGGATGTTTAAAGGCATCTCACAGGAAGTGTCACATTCGGTTCAGTTAGCTTCCAAGAAGGCAGATTCCGTCAGGGGCAAAACAACATCCCTGATCGTGCAAAGAGAAGATAGTCATCAAAGAGAACCACAAACCACCACTACAGATCGTGCAAAGAGAAGATAACCATCAAAGAGAATGCACATCCACGCGGTGCTCAGTCCAGAAAGATAGAGTGCTGCAGCACTGTTCTGCCACAGGCAGCATTTTTCAAAGCATCTGGGAGCAAAATGAACCTCTGGTGAAATCAAAAGATGCTCAGTGTTTAAATGTTATATTTTGGGCGAGTGCAAAACCAAATATTTGATTGGTTCAAAAGTAATTGAGGTTCTTGCCGCTAAAAGTAATACTAAAAGTCATAATGAAGGCCTTAAAGCAAACATGAGACATCACAGTTCAAGTCTGAATGGGTTAACAAGAAAGGGTAACATGATGGGGGAATTCAGACTGAACTGCTCGGAATATGCTCCTTGAATCACTCAGAGGAAGACCTGATGCTGACATCAGAAGTCACTACCTGGAAGTTTGTTATAAAAACTTAATAGGGGAAGCTTGATTTCATTATTACTACCCAAGATGAATTCAGTCCTTCTCAGTAAATCTTTACTATCCTAGAATAAAATCCAGCCTTGTTACTATGGCCTACCAGGCTGTTAATAACATTTTACTTCCATTTCCCTTCCCAACTTTATCTCCTATCACATCCCCAAAGTCACTCCATCCCAGTCCATTATTTTCTGCTGTTCTCTGAACATGCCAGGCTTATTTTATTATCTATTTATTTATTGAGATGGAGTTTCACTCTTGTTGCCCAGGCTAGAGTGCAATGGCACAATCTCAGCTCACCGCCACCTCTGCCTCGCAGGTTCAAGTGATTCTCCTGTCTCAGCCTTCTGAGTAGCTGGGATTACGGGCATGCACCACCACACCTGGCTAATTTTGTATTTTTAGTAGAGATGGGATTTCTCCATGTTGGTCAGGCTGGTCTCGAACTCCTGACCTCAGGTGATCTGCCTGCCTCGGCCTTCCAAAAGTGTTGGGATTACAGGTGTGAGCCACTGTGCCTGGCCCCCCAGGCTTATTTATACCTTCTATCAGGCTGTTAATAACATTTTACTTCTATTTCTACTTCTATTTCTATATTCACTTCTTTTTCTACTTCTATTAACAGTTTATTGTTCCTTCTACTCTCTTTTGGTAATGAGTAATTTTCTGTGTTAACTTGACTAGGTTAAGGGATGCCCAGATAGCTGGTAAAACATTATTTCTGCCAGGTGCAGTG